AATAGGCTCAATGTACTTTTATAAATTAGAGCCGACAGCCTGTGTTGCTAGTGCTCAATGTCCTGTTTTTTTAGTCTAAGAATTTATTTTATTAGTCTAAAATTATAATAATAATAATAATATCCATCATTGTTAAGGGCAGCTTGCTTCCTGCAAAGTTTTAATCGCCCTCTTGTAGGAATAAAGGCATCGTGAAGGCAAATATGACTCAAGGTGTCTCTCTTACAGGCTAGGCTCAGGAGTTGATGTTGAGGTTTGATTTGTAGAAAGCTATTGCTAGCAACGGCTTATGTTATCATTTTTTTTCTTCGGTGCCGATTCCCCTAAAAAGTGTATTCCCACGAAATGTGGATAGGGATGAAATACAAATTGATCGACAATGATAATTGACATATTCGACATATCCCATACTCCTTGCCCATATATGCCTGTCTAATCCCGTGTAAGTGCCTTTATATATTATTTGAATGAATTGTAAATGTGAATTATAAATTCAGACAAAGGAAAAGCGTTCACAATTCTCTTTACACTGACGCGCAGTCATTGTAGGCGTGTTCCTTGAAAAGGTTAAAAATGTATAACTTTGCTTAATTTTGACATGTTTAATGATGTTTAATAATGTTTAATGAAGTTAAAAATGTATAACTTTGCTAGCAGAGAGCACATTTCGTGAAAAGGACTTAAACATTTCCTAATCATTCATTTAGAGTATTATGGCTTTGCCTGAAGCATTTACAACACTCTTCGATTATTTTAGAAAGAATCTAAGTATTTTGGAAAAATATGCTTCGATCTATTAAGATTCATACTAATTCATTTCTCCTGAAGGTTGGAACACTTGAACAAATGCAGCAAACTTCTTGAAATTACTTTACGCAAATCGGTAACAATGAACTGAATAGTTTCCCATTGATTCATCAATCTGCCAATGCTTTAAGAATAGAAAAATTAATGAAAATCTTAACAAAGAAGTCAGAGCTGCCGAGCGATACATTCTCGTGGATTTTGGTGCCGATCTGGATTATTTGAGCGAAATATTATATGAATTCAATCATAATTATCGTATATTGCGTTTGAAGACGAATTCGTATCGTATAAGAAAAACAGCACAGCGTTTCCAAGAGACAAAAAAAATAAGTGAAAGCAAAAGTTCAATAATTTATACAAAACATTACATATCCGAAGGGTCTTCAGTTTTCATTGAAAATGTTATTATGGAAAATTTCAAATATAATTATATCATGGCGGATAACTTGAAAGCTGGTCATAATTGGTTTACACGCTTGCGCCGACTTGACTATTACTCCGAAGAAATTATTTTTTAAAATGCCGCAAGTCGACCATTTGATAATTATGCCCTGTTGTTATCATAAGCTGGAAATGTGTAATATAAGGTTTAAATTTCGTAATTTTCCTTTAAGTGAGGCTTTTAAAGATGCTCTGCACAATATTCAATCGCATATAGATGTTGCCAAAAAAAATTGTTACACTATTCGATATGGAAACAAAGTCGACATATTAAAAACATGAAAAGAAGGCGAAGAGCAAGTCTGTAAGTTGTAATATAGAAACCCTAAAGCGATGAACTCAAGAACACATCTAAAATTAGGAAAGCGGTTTGCTATTTTTATGAAGTATCTCTAACGCGCGATGTTAAGAATTAGTACACCCTCGTGTGTATATACAATACATATATAATAGCTAAAAAAATTATCAATCGAACGCAGTAAGGAAAAAATTAAGGAATTAAAAATTGCACATTAAAACATATACAATAGAAATTAACACACAATGCAAGAAGTGACTTTGACAGATTATTTATTTTTAAGAATATATATATTGTTTAATGTTCTTTTTATAATTTTTTTTTTTTTTTGAGTATGAATAAACAGATATTATTTAAGTGGATGTTTCTTTCCTTTTGAAAATTCTTTTTAAATGACTTCCTTTTTTTTAGTTTTTCTTTGCCAAATTTTATTTCAATTAACTAAAATTAAATTTTGTTTTTTTAATTTTCGTTTTTGTTTCATGGAAAAGAAAAGCAGTGATAGATGTTTAAATTTAAAAAAATCGGTGGCTGGGTTATGTTTTAGACATTTGACATTGGGAGGTTCCCTTTACTTTTTGCCCAAAGTGTCACGCCATTCATTGTATTTCTCCATATCCTCATGCAACTGTAGTGCTTCTATGCAGGCATTGAAGAACGGTGAGCCAAAGCAATCTTGTCTACATGGGAAAGATTGTTAGAAAGAAAATTAAAATTAAAAATTTGAAAAAACATTTTAGAAGTTTTGTGCAAGTTTTTATTTCAATCAAAGTTCAAAAATCTACAAAAAACTTTTCGTAAAAATTCAAGAGAATTTTTTGAAAATTTCACCAAAAAATTTTTAATTTCAAAAATCCATTAATTAATAAAAAATATTTATTAGCTTGACTTTGTGAGAGATTATAAATAGTAAAAAAATGAAATAAAAAGAAACATTCATTTATTTGCAAAAATAGTCTTGCTATAAGGTAAAGAGATAAAATATTCACAAAAATAAAACACTAGATCTTTTTACATATTATGAAAATAAAAACCGTTCCTGAAAAAATGTTGCTGACTTATTCATTGTCTATCGGCGATGATGGCTAACTATCAATTGTTCGTTCCCTATTCTTTCATCTCACCCTACTTCTTTCTAAAAGTCACCAGTGCGTGCACATTTTCAATATAATAGATTCCTTTTCTTTGCACTTGTTTCCCATTTTAGTTACAATATTGGTTTTTTTATTCCTGACTGGTTTAAACATGGTTTTCACCTTTTACTAGAGTGGTTTTTAACATATTAGAGTCGATTTTAACATAATAGAAGACATCCCATGCGTTTCGTCATCAAATAAAAGAAAGCCTTCGCCTCAAAATGGGTCGGCCTTTTTTTTTTTGTTTTTAATTTTCTTAAAAATGCTATGCAATGAAATAACCAGAGCTCCAGAAATTCTTCCAAAAAGAATAATGATAAACATGATTTGCAATATTTCTGAACGTTTTATTCATTTCTGATCTTTCAGCAAGAGTTACGAAGATGAACCTTGCTGAACACTTCACATTCATCTGTGCAGGAAACGGGGCATAAAAATTTAATGTTTTTGATAAAAGAGCATACATGAGGGCTCATAAATGTTCTTAAAGGAGAAACTCCTGCTTCCATTGGTACGTACGATCTTCCTGTCAATTTAATGGGGGCTATTGTAATCCAAATGTGGAGTTTCTATTGCCGAGGTACAAATTTCTCTACTCTCTTTTATCTCTTTTATCTAAGCGGCCTTTCTGGCCTTTTAGTCATCCACCCGAGACGGAAGGCTATACTGTGATCTGATTTTAGGAGAAGGCGATGGAGGTAATGGAAATAACGCACATGGATAGATGGGGGTAAAGAAGAACGTGTTTAACTTTGGGAAGCTAAGCCGAACTTTGAGACATCTATTCCTGGCGCGCTTCATTGAAAATCTTGATCGAAGCTTATCCTCTTGGCTGTCAGATTTAAACCTTCAGAGAGGAAGGGTTAAAGGTAGCATTTATGGCCAAGCAAGAGCCACTGCACTTTTCTGAAAAGTTGCGTGTTCTGCTTCATTGTTTTAAACTGTTTATTAATTATTTGCATGTGAGACCCTAAAAATATCAATAAGATTTGGGCAACAATGACTATAGTTTTGTACATTAATAATAAAAACACGCACTTGTGTTCAAAATTCAAATTGAAATTCTCAAAAAGGTTCCATTTAGGAAAAACTTTGATTTTTAAAAATTAATGAATAGATAATGGATATGTAAAGAATAAAGCAATAAAACATACCGCAATAAAATCAAATAACGAATGCGAGACAGCGCAATGCGTTTGCGTCTTAATGGGAAAGGAAAATTTTTTCCTACAAGCCATACTTAATCATGTGGCGAGAGCACGGCATGTATTGGTGTACTTTGCAAACTGATTTCGAAATCGTTTGCCTGATGATGAGAAAAGACATTTTTTAGCTTTGCCTGTAACTGGGTTTGCGGTAAAAATGCCTTGTGATTTATAGCGTTTTAAGTGAGAGAATTTAAACAAAATTTTCATCGTTGCTTTCATTATTTCATGAGAGGCAAAAATTGATGAGAGAAATAAGCACATATGCGACTTAATTACGACATAAAAAATTCACCCCTCATGACGTAAAATTTAACTAAAATTATTAAATGTCTCGTTATAATTCGTTATATTTTTCAAAGTTTAATAGCATTTTTTTATAGATTTTTTCTGTATATTATATTATTATGATAAAAAAAATTATAATTTACAAAATTTAATAATATTTTTTTAATATAAAACAAAATTTTATTTTGTTATATAGGGGAAGTGTGTGCCTACTTTGTATCTGTTTTCTTTCTTTTTTATAGCGTTTTATCACAATACTTGCATCAGTGTAGATTTATTATATTATATGCAATATGAGAGCGTATAAGTATAGTTTTGTAAGAGTATGAGAGCGAGTGTGTACATGCATTTGTATCGATATCAATAAACAAATTTAAGCCTGATCTCTTAGGTTTTTTTATTAAAAAAATCTTTTTTTTTTAAATATTTAATAATATATGTATATATCTATATGTATTTTGCAACTTTTTTTTTTGTGGGTAAATACTTCAAATAGTTTAAAAAAATTGTTTTCCTTAAACACGAATGCTTCGTCCATCTTGTCGGCTCATGTCTGTGATTGTTTTAATATATAATTGTTTATTTGTTGTAAGTGTGTTACGTGTTGTATATGTATGTATATATACCGCAATGATTCATTTTTTGTTTTCTGTTGCCACTAAAAAGTAAAAACTACATAATAACAATTCAATACTTGTCGATTCTAATATATAACAAATTACAATTAAATTAAAAAAAAAAACACAATAAATTATTTTACAACATTTAAATAAATTAAGGAAAAAATTGATTACAAATACACAAAAAAAAAAGAAAAACTATTAAATATAATATAATTATACAAATTAATTATAAAATAAATAAGTACAAATTATTTAGCAAAAAAATAATTTAAGCTCCATTAGTTAGTTTATCAATGTTTCTCTATCTTTGTTTTTTTTTTCTTCTTTGCTTTTTTTTTTTATTATTTTTTGATTTTCATGCAAAATAGAAAACACATTTTAACACTTTGGCGACCAGAATCTTAAATATGAAGCAGTTATGTCGGTACCGGCGGCATATTAAATGTTATCGGTGAACCATTTATAACTTTGATGAAATGTTGTAATTTTGATACTTCTTCGACCGGTATTAGTAGAACTTTTAAGCATTCGCCGAACCACTTCGAATCAAAACAGTCTTTCCTGGTTTATACGAAAAAAAAAAACGAAAAAAAAAAAATTAAAAAACTTAAAAACGTAAAAAAAGAATAAAATGCAAAATAAATTATAGCAAAAAAAAAGAGATCTTCAAAAAAAGATTAATTTTCATTTTATTCGCATATCATTGATGATAATGTAACTTATATCGTTTCTCGTTACATTTGCATTATTAATTTTATGTTAACTATATTTAGATTAATTGTGAAAAATCAAAGGGTACGGGTGACCCGTTAACGACTTTAAGAAAATATTTCAGTTGTGTAATTTCTTCTTCGGGTATTAACAGCACTTTCAAGCAATCTCCAAATGTTTCGTTTGTAAAACACTTGTCCCTGTGATGTAAAAAAAGTCAAACAAAAGTGTTTCGTGTACAAATGATATATTTTAATGTATGTACACTGCATTTTATATATACGTATGTAGAGAAACTACTTATCTTGCTAATACTAATCATATCATGCTATACTATAGAGTGTGTAAAGAATGGCATAGATTTATAATATCTTGTTTGCTAATTGGGTCCAAAATAAAGCGGTTTTAAAAAAAGTTCGAACTTTCAAAGAATTCTTTATATTTTACAATATCACTCTGCCGATGAGTACAACGCTTTGCTTTTATATGGCAGTATTGTACAATTTTCTAAGACCCTTCATGGCAGATGTAGGTGCGCGATAGCCACAGGATAACTAATTTCATTTACATTAGACGCTGATTCACGTTTTAGGTATTCACCTTTTTATAGGCACTTCAATGAAATATATGTCGTTATATGAAAGTAAGGGTTAATTTTTCGTATTTTACCACAAAATTAAATAAAGGATTGTATTGGGAGAAATGGTGTAAGGTATTCACTGTTTGGCTTTGCTCGACTTCACTTTTTGCTAAGTGTTCCTCGAATAATCTGAAAAAAGCAAGAAAGTTGTACTTAAGTCTTTCTTAACTACCAACCAAAATACATGTTTATTGAATGCCAATCGAGTTTCGAACCGTTTCCGGGATTTAGAAATAGAAATAGAAATAGAAATTTTTAGACGAACTTTTGTACATATTAACATGACTCAAATTGCTAATTCATATTCATTATAGGGCGCATATTGCGAAAATATATTGAAATTTCTGACTTTCGAGGTTAACTTTTCTAGCTGTGTTGAGTATATTTTCAAGTTTCATCTTTCTACTTTATTACCTATTGTTACTTCGAGAATTCTGATAAAGAAAGAAACTCAAAGTACTTTTAACCATTTTTTATATTTATTTCGAATTTCTAGTCGAAACAAGTATTAATGTGAAGGTTCTTCGTTAACTATACAGAGTAAGAAAATGCACTCTCGATATTCAATCAATTCGCTTTAAACACTTTTGAAAGTTTGCATTTGTACAAAATTTTCTTCAATGTAACGTGATAAGAAAACGTAATACTTTTGATCGATCACGTAGAAAAAATAAGCTAAATGGAGGGGTTTGGTAAGGTTTTTTGGATGTATGCAACACCCAGAAGGACTTGAGATAGACCCGTCTTTTATTATGCCGATCAATTCAGACCCATTTTCCCAATTGATCTAAGCTTGTCTGCCCTCTACTCTTCCTGTTTTATTGCGTTGAACCTAAGTGACGATATTTTTGAGATACTTTGATGAAATTTCGGGCAAGAACGGGCGCTATTGAAAATGGTTAAGATCCGATCGCATTCCGGAAAACTTCTCATATAATGCGCTTTTTTTAAAAGTTGTTTTGCGAATGATGTTCAGGATAATGTAGGGGATTTGATGTCGGGTTGGGCGGCCCCCTATAGTGCTTTTTCTTGCTTTATGTGTAGTTTAGTGGCGGCGCTAACACAATTGGCGAACGTCGAAGTTTTTCGTGACAAATAATAAGAAAGGCAGTGTTTCGATCTGTTTCTACCAAGATATAGGTCTTGGATTTACACAATTTAAGTCATTGCGGGATACTTTAAACGTTTGGTTTGAACACTGGTTACTTTGAAATGATATTTCGGTAATCTCAGAAAGAGTTATTATTTACTTTCGCTATCGCGCATGATGTGTGAAAGAAATAAGAAAGTTTTTCAACAATCGAAATGACTTGCTTTTCTCTATTACAGATTAAATATTTTCAATGCTATGACCTCTAAGCACATGCACATTTCTTTTTGTATGAATTGGTTGTATAAACATAATCGCTACCGATTAATTTAGATAACTATTTTACGCGTGCTGCAACGTGAAATACAAAAAAAAAAAAAATACAAAAACAGTTCGACATTGAAAAAGCTCATAACTGGAAAACTGCAATGATGTGTAGTGATGTGATTACAACACCTTATTGAAAGGTTGAAAGTGAACTTGGTTTGGTCCATAAGATGCTAATTGTAAAAAAGTCCGCTATGGCACTGGCTCGCACATGCAAATCCGGTCTATTACATTTTTTACGATTAGTGGATGTAATACAATAATATTGATCCTAAAATTACTTGGTAATGTTCAGTCTTGATCAATGTTCAGTTGCGGATGAGACGTCATACGATGAAGTCTTGCTTTTCACCTTTTTTTTTTTAAGAGTTTCATTGACGTTTGATCGAAAAGAGCGTGATATCTCTTTAGCAATGAAATTTTCCGGTCCTCGCTTTTGATATAGAGCATTTTCACTGCAACTACAACGAACACTATGGTCTTACTCGAAGTCATATTGTAAAATATAGAGAATTTCGACGGAATTACTTTTTGCTAAATTAAGAAATGTCTTAATGTTTTTCTTTTTAATTGTTTACTTTTATATGCCGCTTAGCATGGTTTGATAAAAAATCTACTTCCTCGATGCATTATATCGATAATTATTTAAGTGCAAAGGATCTTTGTAAAAAAAAAGACGTTGTGTGAATATAAATGCATTAAGCGAAAGGGTGAGGTTATTTAATGGTGTATTTTTAGTTGTTTTCACATCGAAAAACGACTGAAAAATTTTTGTTGGATTTGGATTCGTTTTTCAAAAGATTTAAATAAGCAATTACTTTATTGTCTTACAAGTTTGCTTCAAGTGAAGCTAGTTAAAGAATAGAATAGAATAGGCTCTATAGGTTCTAGCAGAACAATGTCTTCTGCCATCAACCTGTTCGTATATACTTTAACTGTAAATATATTACGGAATTTATGAAGCGATCGACGATAGATATTAATTAATTAATGAGTTACGAATCGATGATTGACTTAAACAATATACAAATGCATAAAATATTCAGCATACTCGTAGTATTTTAATCTGCCGGCGGTGACAAAATAGACCAATACCTTGAACTTTGATATTATGTGTGTAATAAATTTTCTTAGACTTGTTAAAAAATTGAAGCATGTCGCACTGTACTGAATTAAATATATATACGGACGGTATTTATGTATGTATATGTGTGTATGTGTGTGCAATTATACGGCTTTTTTTCTCTTTAAATAAAAATGTGCCAATTTTATAATAAATTTCAATTTTAAATCGTTTTTTCTTGTTGGTGTCGGTTTTTTCAGTTAATTGTATATAAACAAAAATTTTACATACATTTCCACGAATCGCGTCGGTTGTAGACGTAAAAAGAAAAAAATGTAATAAATAAATAAAATAAATATTTGAAATAAATTAAAAACACATTTTAGATGTGTATGTCCGCAGACCGATATGTGAAAACTTGTGCGGGATATGTTTTTATGCATCGCACGTGTATACTTCCGTTCAATTTTATTATTATTGTTATAGTAAATCAGGTCAATGGTCGTTGACTTTGGTTCACTCTAACACATGCGTGCCTATTTGAATTTGATCGATAAACTGACTGGCGGATTGATTGACTGATTGGCTATTTGTTTAAATATTTTTTTTTTTTTATTTTGCCAATGTATACGATTGCTTGAGCTAATGACTTACTTGCAAAGTCGATGTATACTTGTTTCACGGAACAACTGATAACAATCCTCACAGATGCGATCCAAACGAAAGAACATAGTCTTGTTAAAGATGCCCTTGCATTCCAAATCGAAAAAATTACTTCTTTTCGACAGATTGTGACTGTGAGGCAGAGCCGTGAATATGGGAACCAAAATAAGAAACAGCGCTACCGAGATCTTAATATTGCGGGAACACATCTGAAAAAATTGATAGAAGCAATTTTTATTAAATCCAGTTTGGTTAATAAGCAATTAAGTTTTAATAAAGTAATTAGTAAAAGTATTTAAGTGCTACTGCCGGCGATATCCATCCATTTTTAAACTTAAAACATTTAGAGACCCTGTACTCGGGCAAAGTGCTGAACTATGCAGCCCAGTCTGGGTTGACTTAATTTTTATGATACGCCTGACTCAACTCGCTCACATCAATACGCCATATCGAAACATTCCGCTTTTATTCCGAGATCTTTCTCGACCAATTTTGAAAAAAGTAAATTCTTTTCATATAACGAGCTTTTCAAAAGAAGTCAATATGTATGGAGGCATGATAAAAATGGTTTGATACATTTAATTATCAATAGGAGTCGTCCTTGGGCCAAAACTCATGTCAAAACAAATCAAGAACTATAATTTGTTGGTTGAACAGAAAAATACAAGACGAACAGAGAGACACGTTCAGAAAATAGTTCTCAATAAATCGGTATAATAAATGGGGGACCTTTCTGAAGACGTTCTGCAAGTCATTGACATTCACCATCTACACTTAATATATATATTGTAACGCAAGTGATATAGAGTATAGTAATCAAGCAAGTGCGCGCTTAATTTGCAAACCAAAAAAAGACGAACAAATGGGATTAAATTCGGCCAAATTGTTTTAGGGTGTATATCTACATCTACGTAGAAGTTCTGTGTCTTACAAAAAGGATACAAATTTACCATATTTGCATCTCTGAGTGGCACTGTGGAAAGCCATCACAGCAATCACAAAATTTTATCCGTTAATTGTGTGTGCACCAGTTGATGATTTGGAAGAGAGAGCTTTTGCTCAAACTTTCTCTCAATACTTTATAGATGATATTTGTTGTATCTTATGGAAAATTTGAGTAAAATTCAATCTTGAACTGTATTATATGGATCGTTTAAATTTTACCTATGACCAGCACTTTCACAATTGTTTAGATATTATCGTTATAAAATGATAAAGTTTTGATTTTGTTCCCCTATAAGGGTTTAACTTTTAATGAGAATATTTATATGAGAAAGTAAAGCCAAGACACAGGTGAATGTGGTTCAAATTTAGCTATTGTGTTTGAATACTCATAATAAATTACAAAAAATTAGACCTGTTTGCCATAGAAAAAGAGAGAAAGTCCGAAAAATGGCTCTACTCTGTGGAAGATTTTTGTGTCTTTTTGATTGGTCAATGCATTGATTTTTATGGGGAAATGTTGACTATGGAAAATTTTTATGCCAATCACCGAAGGATGACAGGTCTATTTATTTTGTCTAAACTCTTGGAATAACCAGAAGGAAACTTCAGAGATTCTATAAAGTATACATATTCTTAACCAAGCATATCCGTCTGTCTGTCCATATGTGTGATGCCTGTGGTAAACATTTTCTTGATCGCGTAAATGAAGCAGGAGCTCTGGAAGTTTTTTCCGGTTGTCATAGAAAAGGCCGATTTGGCTAAAGGCTAAGTCTAACAGTACGTGTGTACAAAGTGTCAACACCTTTGTCTCCTAAAGCAAATAATTACGAGTTTTGTTTTGCATTACCCATACATTATAACAATAATTTATTTCGTATTCTATTTAAATAAAAAGATGCTGGATATGAAAGGTTGAGCCGAATATAATTTTCTTACTAGTTTTCATATAAAGACTTTTTTAAAGTAGGGCATTATATGTCACCGTATGTCCATAAAAATGATGCGATGCAAATCATTTTAAAGAGAATTCATTTCTGCCTCGAAAACTTTCCGTGTATTAAACTTTACCAAAACATCTTAAAAGTTGCGAATAGGAGGCTGAACAAAGAGAAGCATAGATAGCCGCCAAAAGGAAAAGCAAATAGATTTATAACGCGTGGTGGCGTTCTTGGTATTACATACAACATCAAAGAACAGCAAACTTATGATTATAAACGAATGCACGAAAATCGTACTACATCAAGAGCTGAGTTTATTAGGTGGAATGATACAGAGAGAGATAGATAGATAGATGGATCGATAGATAGATAGAGAGAGAAAAAAAGAAAGAAAGAAAGAGAGAGAGAGAGAGAGAGAGCATTAAAATGTTTATGCATGGAATAACTATTTTAACTAGTATTGTTCAAAACTATTAATAAGCCATCTCTTGGACTTAGTTCTTCAACAAGTTTTTTCTTTTTTAATTAAATAAAAAAATCAAATCAAATAAATTGGTTGCTTAATATAAAACAAGTAGCGGCATATTTGCTTTTATAGCAATTAAAATATTAAACGATTGAATTGCTCTTATTGATGCTGTCACCGGTGCGATCTGCCTGAACGATACTGTTAAGTATTATGAATAAAATGTAAACAATTCGTTTATTATAATTTTGCAAACAATTGAAAAAGAATCACAATTTAATGTACATATAAAAGCAAAAATTGCAAAGAATAAAGAAAAAAAGAAAGAGACAACAGCGTAAGGACGCAAAACACTTCTTTTTAGTTTAACATACACACGGCACGGTCCAAAGTTCTTTAATTTGATTGAAATGCTTGTGATATTTATGAAACGCAGGAAAACAATCACCTATGCTTCTTATTCGATATATATTTCTAGGCCTTAAAATTCAACTTTTCTGTTTATGTTATAGTCTCATCTTCAATAGTTTTGAAACAAATAAAGTCGTTACTCGGACACTTTACATTTCGTTATTTATTTAATGTTGACATCAAGCGAACATATGCTTTCAATAAACTCTTGTTGGCTTGCCTTTCACTCGATTGTCCAAAGCCGAAGAGGAAGTAAGATTGCGTAGTCAAACCAGACTATCACCTGAATTACCATGCAAGCTAAATCGTGCTACAACAACATTTGTATATATTTTTTAAGAAATATTAACATGAACATGCCACACACAAACATATACGCACTAATGCTTAGTATTTGGTAAACCACTGTTATTGTCGTTGTTTTGTTTTATTTTAATGATAATGACCATGTTGATGATCGGCATTATGTGAACGCTTAAAATAATGTTAAACCAATATTTCCAAATATAAATATAAACACAGTTGTAGGTTTTTCCATATCTAGCTTTTAGTTATTTTTTATTAAGTAGTCAAGCTATTTACGTTCATTGCACAGAGAGACAATTGCGAATAGTTACACAATAATTTATAGATATTATAAGAGGACTGTTTCAGAGTTTGCCTATCTGCCATCCCCTTGATTGAGGTTGAAATTCGAAGAGGATTAATATTGCAGACATTTCCGTAAACGAGCGGGATCTGTGAGATCTTTAAAGGTTTAAATATCTACCTACTGTTATAATAGGAAATTAAGTCGCCAACAAGAAAATACACTGTCGTGGTCAACGGCCCAGTCATACAGTTAAGCATATATTAACTTTTTAAAATAAAATGTTATATGGATCGAAAGATGTCAGTGACTAAATTTTATCAAAGTATCTCAACACGAAAAAATCAGGCGGATAGACAAGCTTAAATTGATACAGAAAGTGATTTTGAATCAATCGAAATAGTAAAAGTGGTGTCTATCTCAAAGACTTTCTGGGTGTTGCATACTTCGGCATAAATTTAATATGCCCTTATATTACAAATGTGGTGTACTGTTATAATCTCTTATAGCTAAGGTCTAAATTATTTACAATAATGGACGAGGTTGCATGATATAACTAAAAGACGTTCGGAGAGTCAGTTTTGAAATAGAGAAGCAGCCCATTTCAGAAAATAAAGGCCTTGTTAATAAATAGTGCGATGGGTCATGGTAGACATTTTATTCAATCTTAGAGACTAATGCGCTTGAAAGGGGAGAACCGATGAGATTTTACTCAAAAACGGAAAATAGAGTTTTGAAGCAATAAAGGTATGTTATGTATGATGTACCTTCCTTAAGTGTAAGAGGGCGGACCTTAAAAAAGTATCTTCACGAACAGTATCGTCTCAATCCAAAAATGACAAAAAAGTATTAAGAAATTGAATTAGCAATAGCGAGCAAAGACGATTTTCCGTTGAACCTCGAGAAACGCGCTGAAATGGTTAAAATTCGCTACAAAATTTGAAACATTTCTCAGGGCCGTTCGTAAAACATATAGTGGTTTTTATCATCATCTATGATAAATTTAACCAAAAAATTTGGACAGGTGGGGCAAGTTAGTGATGTGAGGATTCTGCGCCAAACCTCTTAACAAATAAAGAGAAAAGACGTGTAGATTTGGTTTAGGTTTTTTATTGAGTTATTTTGTTGCGTGTATATTCTAACATCTTATTTTAATAATCAGTGTAAAGAAGCGCATAAGACACATGCTTAAAAGAAAAAAGAGTTAACGTAACAGAGGAACTAGTGAGTGTGCGAGAAATTTAAGACTTCTTCACTGACCTTCACATATGTTGACCTACGTCAGAGTTCTCCTAAACGAACGAGCGCGTTAATCGTTTCAGTGGCAAAACGAAAAGGGAAGAAGTATCCGATTTTCTATTTCTGTATGAGTTACCAAGGTTGTTACTCGCTCGTCGTACCTCCAGTTTAATTGAAAATAACTCGGGTACAGCTGAGAGTGCGGCTAAAAGCTGAGGATTATCAATTTCGAAACAATCGCAGCCGCAAGGGGACGTATTATACTTTTTCATGAAAATTTCGCGACTCAGGTATGCAATAATAATAGAATGTTGGAGCAGATACCTATGACACTATATTCATCAAAACGATAACGGCATGTAAGATGTGCCAAGAGAGACATTCTGCAGATATTGTGCTCTATTAATAAACTAACAAGTTTGCATTTTGGTTTAAAATCAAAATATATCCGCTCGCCTGTCAACAGCTGTTTTAATCTTTCCGCCAATTACTTATGTATTAGTGAAAGACATGTTTTATTCACTCACTTTTCTACTCATTTGTTATATTATTTCGCGGCATAGATCTCTTTGTTGCTCATATGATGATGGTGTCATGTATAAATCACATAACTGATGCATA